TAGCCAGGCTGGGAGACCAGCTAAAACCAGCTACTTCCAGCTTAACCCAGCTAAGACCAGCAAACCAGCTTAGGCTGCTTTTAGCTTGTTTTTTCAACAGCAATGCTAGGCATTTTTTTTTTATGTTTAAAGGTTTCGAATAGAACCTGCAATGTTTAACTGTAAATAATATGGAGAATAGGAGAAAGTTAGACATAAATTAATTCATGGTTTATTTCAGTGTATTGTGATAAGTTTGTTTTGTTTTAGTTTTGTTTTCAGGTTATTGTATGGAGAGATTTTCCTGGTGAACAAAGCCTAGACCAGCCAATCTGGTTGAGCTGGTGACTTTGAATGGCCGCTGTCATTCATGAAAATGAGGCTTATACTGGTCTTCACTATTCCCCAACATAGCTACACTGTCAAGCTGATTTACCAACAACAACCAAACCGTCTCAGTGACAGAGCAATGCTGCCTATCTGAAATCAGTTTCATCCTCAGGAATTTTAGGATTAGATTTGGACAACAGTAAGTAAACAGATGTGGTACTGATGTTAGCAAAGTATAAATATAATTAATTATTATTAAAGGTGTTCATTTAAATAACAGTAAGTTTCTGCAGCTGCACCGAATGCTGTGCAGCTTTGAATATGAAATTAAACTATAGAAGAACGGCCACAAACAGATCTACGGAGATGAGACACAACAGCAGCAATGCATGGTCATAGTTCAGATTGCATGTTGTTTATAAAAATTTGTGTTCAGGCTACATATAGTTGTGTATTCACCAGGATGGCCGAGTGGTTAAGGCGTTGGACTTAAGATCCAATGGACATATGTCCGCGTGGGTTCGAACCCCACTCCTGGTAATATGTTTTCATTTTTATATCCATCATATGTGCGTCGAAGATAAACGTGCACAACCGCAGCGCACATCACGTCCAGGAGAAAATCTAAAGATGCACGGAGAGCAAAAAAGATTTGCACGCTGCTCGTTGCATGCGATACCTTTCAGGATGCAGAAATGTTGATCCGCTCTGGATAACTAAAAGGAGATGAAGCTGCTGCTGAGAGCGCGTATGACATAAAGTGCATGAAGCGGGACACATGAGGACACACACTTGCTGGATGAAAGAACAAATTAGGAAAACTGCAAAAACGACTCGACATCGTGTTAAATGGGTGGTCTTATACTGCCTCCTATTGGTAACTTAAATGAACTTCTTCTAAATAATTCAATATTTTTAATAAACCAATATTAAATTAACTTTCAGCTAAATATTTAATTTTCATCACAAATTATAAAAAAATAAAATTCAGATGTCGTTAAAAAAAAAGGTTATTTTATTGACTTTGCAATGTAACTTCATAACAAAATATGTAAATACATTAATATCAGAATGAGAATCAGAAAGAGCTTTATTGCCAAGTGTGTTTACACACGCGAGGAATTTGTTCAGTACAGAAAGTACATAGTGCAGACATATAATTTAAGGTAATACAACACTAATAATAAACAGAATAGACAATAAATAATAATAATAACAACAACAATT